CTGGGAATACTGCATCTGGGTGGGTGTCACTGACTTAACCCTGGCCTGTCTTCTCTGGGAATACTGCATCTGGGTGGGTGTCACTGACTTAACCCTGGCTTGTGAGTGCTAGGGAAGAGGAGAAGGAGGACGGTGGGGAGAGCACGCAGCTAAGAGTCTCCCTCAAACTGGAATGAGCTCCAGGGGCCCACCCACTGCTATCATTATGATGTCACAGAAAGGTGCAGCCGCAGGAGGTGGGGGGGCAGATTCATGAGGTCATCTGGCCCAAAGCCCTCTTCGATCTTCCATGCCACCAGGATGGCAGAGGTTGGCACATGCTTCTGGCAGCTGAGCTCTTGAATACCCAAGGCCACACAGCAGCAAAGTTGGGGAATGAGCAACCTGGGCCGATGCCCTGCTGCTCATCTGGAAAGTTCTACAGGGTTCTCACTCATAATCAGCAAACTAGACTCCTCACCTCAGGGACTATCAGACCAAGCTTCTCTTGGGATCCTTGAAGACTGCCAATAACGAATGTGAAATGATGACTCATGTCATGTTTAAGCAAGACTCCGGGTGTGCGTGTGAGTGGGGATTGCTCAAAATCATGTTGAGGTGCTGCTGATTGCATCAAAGCCTCTGTGAGGGGGAGGGCAGGAGAGAGGAAAGGTAGCTGTGGATTTTGACAGGAAAAGGGAGCAAGCACCTAAGAAACTTTACAAAGAAAGATAATCTGCAGTCATGGCTGCTTTTGTTTTCAAAGCCTCTGGGAAAAACTCGGCTGATTTCAAAGTTCTTCAGGGACAGAAAGTAAGAGAGACTTAGGCAATGATCAAATGAAGTTCCTGAAGTCAACACGGAGCAGTGAGGACCAGGGGTGCTCTCCAGATATAAGGAAGGGCCAACGATGTGGTCTGGTCCCCGCTGCTTCCCCTGCTTTGGGGAGGGGGGTTATTAGCACATTGTCAAATGCCTGCTCGATCCTAGTCAGAAAACCCCCAGAGGGTGACCATGTGGCGGATTTGTTACAAGAGTCTTCAGGATATCACCCATGCAATTTTGCCCTGACAGCTTTTCTAGCCGTCGGCTGGATTTACTTCTTTCTGCTTCAAAATCATCACGCCCCTTGTAATGAAAGCTAGAGTCAAACAGTTTGCATCAAAATTTTTCCAGTTTTTCTGGAAAAAAACATACTGTAGCAGATTAGAATTCAGTCGAAGGGGCAGGGTATTTGATGTCATCCAGGCCAAAGCATAGCCCCCGCTTTCCAGCTGACACCCCGGAAAGCCTCACTGATGCCGCCTCTTCGAGACTTTCAAAGCAGGATAGGAAGGATCTTAGGGCTCCATGAAGAAGGTGAAAGATACAGCCTTCTCCAGAAGCTACTGGCCAAAGAGAGGTACTAGGTCTTTGCTTCCATGGAGCAAAGCTGAGAGGGGCAGGTTTGGGACACAGGACATAGATATTGGGCTTGAAACCAAAATCTGGGTTCAAGGCCCAGCTCTCCTACGCACTGTGTGACCTTGGGCAAATCCTTTCACCGACGTTTCCTCTTAGGTGAAATGGAAGTAATAACTCCATTAAAAATTGTTAGAAGGACCGTACAGCATATTTGAGTATTGTAAAAGGCTAGGCAAGGATTGGTGTGGTGATTCTTGCTGGGGCCTCGAATCTGAGACACAAAAGGGCAGTGCCTGTGGTCACATCACAAACAGCCAAGATGCCTGGGTGGCCACAAACGCTGGGTTTAATCATATGATCTGCTCTTTTCTGAGAGCAAAAGGTCTAGAAGAATTTTTTTTTTTTTTTTTTTTTTACTTCTAGGTGACTGGGATACTCTTTCTTAGAAACTTCTAGCTAAAAAAATCTTCTGTCTTACACTGCCATTGAGCAAAAGTCTTTGGGCGACGCTGCCCACCCTCTTGAGCCTTTGATTCTTCATCCCTGAAGGGAAAGGGGAAGACGGATTTCCCCAGTGGTCCATCTCCACTCAAAAGGTGTATGACTCTACACACCCAGAGGAAAGGTTTCGGTTGTGTCAAGACAGCTTTCTGAAACACAAGTTACATGTCAGGAATTATGCTGAGTGGTGGAAGGAGGACCCCAACGTCATCCATGCCCAGGTAACTGGCCCTGCTCAGGGAGAGCGCACCCAGCATTTCAGGGTGCCGGCAGAAGGTAAGGGAACTGAGAGAAGGGCGCATTCCCCGGCCTGGAGGGGGGAAGGAGGGAGCAGTGGGGGTTGTGACCCTGAGCTGTGAGAAGGGCTGGCAGGTGCAGAGCCACACACGGAGTTAATAGCTCCTGTGGAGGCTTAGAGGCCGGAAAGGGGAGGCGGCAGATTCTGTTACTTGCTTACAGTCCTAACAAAAAGAAAAAACTCATAGACCCCGAGGTTGAGGAGTTGCTCTTATGTTCTGGGTACAGGGCCCCAGGCCGGTGGTAATTGGGACACATTTCTGAATTAGTTGGCCCCAGTTTCTCACTTCGGCCCTCCTTATGTATTGGCAGGTGTGGTTGAGTGCCAAGCTGAGTCCTGGTAGGACTGGGCGCCCACACCCTGCATGCGCGGGGGCCCCCTGGGTGGAGGCCGCTTTCCTGTCTGGGCACTGCCACTTTCCATTCACTTCCCACACTGGTGTTTTGACATGTTAGCGCCTGGCCTGTTAACATGGGATAACAAGGGAGTGCGCCCAAAGGCGGTTCCAGGCTCCGGAGCTGGCTCTAGGCCAGGGCAGCCTCGTTGAGCTCCTTTCCCTGGGGTGGCGAGGGAGGCAGCTACTTGGTAGTTTGGCTCCTCTGAGTGCTTCCAAACCAGCATCTCTCCAAATGTCAGGGAGGAGAGTTTATGACTTCGTCCTTTTATGATGTGCCTTTAAGGCCAATTATTCCTAGAGCTAATAATCCTAATACCTCATTGAATTAGGCATTGGGAAGAGAAGGCATACACTTTAAAATCCATGAAATTACAAGTGGATTGAGTGATTCAGTGTTCTGGATGAATGCTTTATAGTCTGCGGTCATCATCATTATTATTAATATTAATAAGCCTTTATTCACACACACACACACACACACACACACACACACACACACACACAC